GATCAGACAGACACGCTCTAGGATCAGACACACACGCTCTAGGATCAGACAGATACGCTCTAATATCAGACAGACACGCTCTAGGATCAGACGGACATGCTCTAGATCAGATAAACGCTCTAGATCAGATAAACGCTTAAGGATCAGACCGAAACACTCTAGATCAGATAGACACGCTCTAGATCAAGCAGACACGCTCTAGATCAGATAGACACGCTTTTGATCAGATAGATGCGCTCAAGGATCAGACAGACACGCTCTAGATCAGACAGACACGCTCTAGGATCAGACAGACACGCTCTAGATCAGATAGACACGCTCTAGGATCAGACAGACATGCTCTAGATCAGATAGACGCGCTCAAGGATCAGACAGACACGCTCTAGATCAGACAGACATGCTCTAGGATCAGACAGACACGCTCTAGACCAGATAGACATGCTCTAGGATCAAGATCAGATAAACGCTCTAGGATCAGACAGAAACACTCTAGATCAGATAGACACACTCTAGATCAAACAGACATGCTCTAGGATCAGACATACACGCTCTAGATCAGATAGACGATCTAGGATCAGACAGACACGCTCTAGGATCAGACAGACACGCTCTAGATCAGATAGACACGCTCTAGGATCAGACAGACATGCTCTAGATCAGATGGAAACACTCTAGGATCAAACAGACACGCTCTAGTATCAGACAGACACGCTCTAGGATCAGACAGATACGCTCTAATATCAGACAGACACGCTCTAGGATCAGACGGACACGCTCTAGATCAGATAGACATGCTCTACGATCAGACAGACATGCTCTAGATCAGACAGACATGCTCTAGATCACACAGACACGCTGTAGATCAGACAGACATGCTCTAGAACAGATAGACATGCTCTAGGATCAGACAGACATGCTCTAGATCAGACAGACATGCTCTAGATCACACAGACATGCTCTAGGATCAGACAGACACGCTCTAGATCAGACAGACATGCTCTAGATCACACAGACACGCTCTAGATCAGACAGACACGCTCTAGGATCAGACAGACATGCTGTAGATCAGACAGACACGCTCTAGGATCAGACAGACACGCTCTAGGATCAGATAGACACGCTCTAGGATCAGATAGACATGCTCTAGGATCAGACAGACACGCTCTAGATCAGACAGACACGCTCTAGATCAGACAGACACACTCTAGGATCAGACAGACACGCTCTAGATCAGACAGACACACTCTAGAACCGACAGACACGCTCTAGGATCAGACAGACATGCTGTAGATCAGACAGACACGCTGTAGATCAGACAGACACGCTCTAGCATCAGACACACTGTTGATCAGACAGACACACTCTAGATCAGACATACTGTAGATCAGAGAGACGCGCTCTAGATCAGACAGACATGTTCAGGTCTGTCTGTGTTTGTAAACTCTCACTCTCACTGCCGCCCACTATTCTTCTGCTAAAGCTCTTTATCCTCGTTCCTCTCGCTCTCTCCTTTCATTTGTAATTTTCATGCTCTAGCTGATCTCTTTATTCTTCAGCAGAGCTTTTATTCTGTCTGCAGGTGTGTGCGTGAGCAGCACAGGTGGCTGATGGGCAGGCCGACCGAGGTGTTGGGTTACGCTTCAGACATTTCTGTTTAGCTGCACACATGAGGTGACAAACATTACAGAACACACACAATAAAAGCTGCATTCCTGGGCATCAATGACACGCTCATGCAGTCTACATAGACGGCACGTCTTCTCACACATCTAAAAACTTAAACTAAACATGCTCACTCTGAAACTCTAATATAATCTAAAGGACGAATCTAATCTAGAAGAACCTGAGCTTGTGTCTGTTTATCTCTAATAATCTTACCGATGATATTGAGGGTGATATTGTGGTTACTGCACACTTTTCCTGCAGCATTTTGAGCACAGCAGGAGTATATCCCAGAATCCCCTGTACTGAGGCTGGTCAGCATGAGGATCCTGTCCTTTCTGTCCAGCTGATCTCCATCTTTGAACCATTTACTGCTCGGCCTGTACAGGTCAGAAACATCTTTTCACACAGAATCAGCGACAGTCAGCAGAGTATGATCAGAAACACGTCTGTAACCTATAGAAGACAGTTTCTGCCATGGAATAAAAAAATACTTTTTATCTCACAATTCTGATTTTGCAAGATATAAATTCAAAATTGCCAGAAAAAAGTTAGAGTTGCAAGATATAAACACAGAATTGTGAAAAACCGTCAGAATTGCAAAATATAAACTCTTAAAGAATTGTGAGATATAAACTCGCAATTACCTTTTTTCATTTTTGTGTTTCGTGTCATCAATAGTAATCTACATGATTCACTGTTCATATGGCATTATATTCCAGGTGTTCTGTGTGAGGATCAGACTCATCTTAACTGTCCAATCAGAGGCTGGACTCACCGTGGATGTCCATCAATGTGACACTGCAGCACGATTCGCTCAGCCTCCTCTAGCTCCGCCTCTGAGGCGGGTTCATTCATGGTGACCGGCCCCCTCTCCAGCCCTGAGGACACACAACAACATCCACAACCATGACTAAAATAAAAAACAAAAACTCTCCGTATCTCTATTTTCTTCAACAAAAAAGAGAAGAAAAATCTAGAAATAAATCTGTTCAGTAGTTGTGATTATAATTTTGAGCAAAGTAATTGTGCATTAACTGTTAACCATTATGCAGCATGACTAAAATTTGACTTTAAAAAGTTCTCATTGACTAAAACTTTTAGTCAACTAAATCTTGATTTAACAAAAAACTGGACTAAAATGCTAATTGACTAAAGGACTAAGACTAAATTAAAAAACAGCTGACAAAATGAACAATTTGAAATGAAAACCATTCAAATAAATATAAATGTATGTTATCTTTGGTCTGTGTTCATTTAGGATCTGTGCAGATGTTTTCTGAGAGCTGTTAGGATCAAATCCTGTCAAGAACATGTTTTTATTGGTCTCTCTGCTTGTGTGTTTCATTATTTTGCCCTGTTAAAGGGGTCATATGATGCGATTTCAATTGTTCCTTTCTCTTTGGAGTGTTACAAGCTCTTGGTGCATAAAGAAGATCTGTAAAGTTGCAAAGACTAAAGTCTCAAATCCAAAGAGATATTCTTTATAAAAGTTAAGAGTCAGCCACGCCTACCTAAAACGGCTCGTTCTAACACACCCCCACATACGTCCTGCGTCCACCAGAACCGCATGTCCGCCGGGCCGCTGAGCTCACAGCGCAGGATAGCACTGCGGCCGTGTAATGCGTCCTGAGACTGGGTGGGGCTCTTGAACTGAAGCGAAGACGCCTGGATGATGAAGACTGAGAGAAACACAGAGAACCAATCAAACTACTGAACAAAACACTGAGACACTTCAGACTCACAACAGACGAATGAATGTCTCCGACAAGACAAATCAAACAGTGTAGAACCGAACAGCATGTTTGCATTCATTAATGATGCAGTGAGACGCGTGAGCTTCAGCACTGCCAACACAAACACAACCTTCTTCATCATCATCATCATCATCAGAAGCTCTGAGCTCATCTACAGACCTCATCACATCACATCAATCCCGTCAGCAGTCATCACATCACATCATACATGCTGGGATACAGTGAGTTTGATGTGCTCAGTCTTACATCTACATGTATTCATTCAGCACTTTTATCCAAGCAACTTACAAATAAAGAAATATCACAAGCAATTTGTCAGAGAATCACAGCATTCATAAAACACAATGACAGGATTAGTAAACAAGCTAGAGCAGAGGAGAAATGCATTCTATAAATATATATAAACTATATAGTCAAGTCAAGTCAAATCTGCTTTATTGTCAATTCTTCCACATGTACAGCACATACACACAGAGAATTGAAATTGCGTTACTCTCAGACCCTTGGTGCATACAGATAACACTAACAGTAGAACATAAATACAGATAGATACAGAGATATAGACATTTAAAAACAACAAAAACTGATTAAAAAAGACAAAAACAACAAAATTACTAAAACTTTACATTTAATATGAAAGCAGAAAATATCAAAATAAAATCTAATTAAAAATATTATAAAGCTCTAAAAAATATATTAGTATCTCAATGACACTAAAATGACACTGATACTGAGTAAGAACATCACTATTTGTGCCTTTATGGTTGTGGGTTAGTTAAGCGCTTGTTTCCGGGTTAGTTAAGCGCTTGTTTCCGGGTTAGTTAAGCGCTTGTTTCTGGGTTAGTTAAGCGCTTGTTTCCGGATTGGTTAAGCAATTGTTTCTGGGTTAGTTAAGTGCTTGTTTCTGGGTTAGTTAAGCTCTTGTTTCTGGGTTAGTTAAGTGCTTGTTTCT